GCATTCTGTTTGGCCACTGTGAGAGCAGGATGCTGGTCTAGATCTGGTTCTGCAGGATACTTCTTACGTTCTTCAAAGATATGGGGGGCATCAAGTGCCCAGTCGGCTACAACTGATTGCTCCGGTCAGGTTATGGATTTCCAGTAGGGCAGACACAGGTCTTATTGGGACGCCCCACCTGCCTTCCCTTGCTCCCTTGAGAGGTCAATGCACCAGAGTCTTTTGGCTTCCCTCCAGCTTCTTTCCAGTGCCTCTTGATGCAAGCTTGTGGAGACAGCGTCAAATTATCATTAGAAGCATGCATCCATATTTCTTGTGCTTATTTCTTTTGAGGCCCAACTGCTGAGATTTAGAGAGTGAAAGAAAGAGGACAAGAATTTTAGGATAATCTTGAAAGCAGGGAGGGGGAAAATTACTGCATGTCAAATGCTGAGTGGGGAGTATAAAAGGCTCCCAGGTGGGCTGCAGAATTAAATGTTTGGAACTTTGTTTCCCCCTGTGAGGGAAGGACTGGAATGTCTCCATGGCAACCAAAGGCCAAAAAGCGGAACAAATGTGTGGTGCCCACTTGGCTAAAAGGGGAAAGCCAGCGCTGGGAGAGGCAGAAGGGGTGGAGCTACTCCAGAGCAAGTGCTACCCCTCTGCCACTAGGGGGAGCCGTTGTGCCACCATTTGGTGGAGAGAAGTCTAGGGCAGATCTGGCTGAGAAGAGAAATCCATCCTTCCAGCGTTGTTCAAGTGTGTGGGATTTCACATTGTGGAAATCAGTATTGGTATACTGTATCTTGACCCACAAGAATGTTTGCCCCAATATGCGAGAGGGCAAGAAGCTGCAAATTTGAGGATGAAAAAAGAAGTGGGATGATGAAACTCAGCCATTTAACACTGTTATTAAACAGAATAGAAAAGGCTGGCTCTGAGCTTTAAGAAAATGAGGGGAGGGTGGAAGAGCTGAAATGATTCTCAAAACAGCCCCCACCCAACTGCCCCAGATCAAATCTCTCTGTGTGTTTTTCCATAGGGTGGTGTCACTCCTCCCACTGGCTGTGGTGCTTCAGGGATGAAGAGGGGGCACAGTTTCTTCCAAGAATGCAACCTGGGAATGACTAAAGCATTGCTCCATGCTTTTTTGGGGGGGGGGCTGTCAGCCTGCTAGGAGAACTGCTGTCACCACCACTGAATTGAAGTCCACACTTTAGCTGCCCCTTTGCTCCTATTTCGTCACCTTCAAAAATCTCTCCTCCAATCCTCTCTCCACAAAAAACCCCAGAAATTTTGTTCCCTAAAAATGAAGCCAATGAGGAATCCATGACCTCCAGATGTTGCTGGACTCCAGCCTCCATCATTCCCAGTCAGCATGGTCAATGATCAGAGATAATGGGATCTGGAGTCCAACAACATATGGAAGTCTCTGCTTTCCCCATCGCTGCTATATTTCCACCCACCTTCCTGCTCTGGATGGAAACTTTGCCTGGTTGAGAATAGTTTTACACATTGCTTTTTATATCTGATTCTGACCTTCCAGCTCTGACTCCTAACTTGACCTCTTGGCTTTGACCCTGGTTCCCAGCTGCTACCTCCCACTTTGTGCCTGCATAGGTATCATAGAATCATAGACTTGTCTCCTCCTCCCCAGGACTTCTTCCAAGCAATCGGAGACTGCGCCTGCGTGAAGCCAACCTCTCCTCCATCCTTTTCATGCCCCTTCTGGTTCTTTGAGACAAGGGGGGAGGGGAACTTGTTGCAGCAAGAGGAGGAGACACTTGTGACTCTGCACCAGCCTGACTCATCTCTGCCTCTTGGCCTCTCTCCACCCACGCTCCTATTTCCACTTCTGCCCCTCCAGTTTCGGATAACTCCTCCTCCCAATCTTCTCCCTCTTCTCCCTCTGACCACTCACCATTGTCCCACCACCAATCCCTGGGCTCTGAGCCTTCCACCATTCCTCTTCATCCAACTAGTCCATGACACTGAATATTTCAGCCCTTTAGATATTTGGAGATTGCTATCACATCACCTCTCCGTCTTCTCTAGGCCAGGCATTCCCAAATCCTTCAGCCAACTCCCTTTGTCACCTTGGTCGCCTTCTCTGTCCAATGTGCATCATCAAATGACATTATATCCTCACTACAGATGGACCACCTCATCAGTCATTTGTGATAACAAGGCCAAGGAAAACAGGAGTCCTGGGAACACTTCACACCCCACAGATTGCAAGCATATGATACATGTGTGCTTTCATGTCTGAACTAGGCAGGAAACTGCAACTGGCTGGCTCTTGCGCATGCTGCAATGGAGATGAGCACAGCTGCTCCAAACATAGCATAATAAGCCTTGTGTGCAGATATTTACACATTGTGCACCCTCTTACTCAGGAATCCATGAAGTGGTCCAGAGATGGAAGACATGTGGTGAACCTGCCAGCCGGCCCAGCTGGAAAAAGATTGATCGGTGGCCTCTCTGGTGTTATTTACCTGTTGCCTTTGTGGATTGCAACCAGGCAAGGGGAGCTGGGTCTGTGCTGCTTGGGGTTAATTGCACATTAAGTAGCTGCTGTTGTGCAGGCTGAGCTGCCTAAATTCTGGGTAATTGGCACTACCTGAACTCTTTTGCTAGAAGGCTTTATGCTGGCAGCCACAGGTAACGAGGAAAGCAAACATTGCCTCTCTTGCTTCTCTTCTGCATTAGCGTGGTCACTGCTGGCAAAAGAATGTAGGAGGGCAGAGATTGTTTTCTCTCTGGAACATCCTAGAAATGCATTTGCTTGGCAGGGCCAAAAAGAAAAATGGGGTGCTGTGAAAAATGTTTGAATCAAAGCTCTGGCTAAGGACCTATGAAGAGCCTGCTAGGTCAGACCAAAAGGCCTTCTCTTGCATGCAGTCTCCTGTTTTCCATGGTGGACAACTAGATGCTTCTTGATGCCATCTCTCCCTGTGGTTCCCCAGCAATTGGTCCTGAGTAAGATGCTGCCACTGAACCAGGTAGAGCAGAGCAGCCCCCAATAATCTTTTCTGTGATGAAGAGAGAACCCCATAAAATGAGAGCTCTAACCAGGCACCCTGCTAGCATGTCCACATGGTTGTGAAAGGGAGGACTTGAGTTAGAGGGAAGGGACCCTAAATCTTCAAAATAGAGAGGTGGGCAACCTTTTGCTCCCCCAGATGTTAGACCACAGCTCCCATTACCTCTGACCATTGGCCATGCTGGCTGGGGCTGATTGGAGTTAGAGCCCAACAACATCTAGATGCCCACAGATGTTCACCCTTACTTTAATATCTCCCTAGATGTGGATTTGTGCAAACTTTTCTGTCCATTCCAACAGTTTGACATAACAGCACACCTGCCAAACTCTCAGTTCTCGCAACTTTTTGATGGGCAGGAGCGCTAGATGGGGGTCATCTCACCCCTATAGTGATGATGCAGAAAAAATGTGCACTTGGGTTTCTGATGCAGCAGCCAGAGAACCACTTAGCCCGAGGAAGAAGAAGAAAAAGAAGAAGAAGAAGAAGAGGAGGAGGAGGAGGAAGACAGCAACAAACAAGAGTGGTACAAGCTGAGGGCTTCTAAGAGAAGTGAAAATCTCTTTGACATCTCACAAATAACAAGGCCTCTCTCTTCTCACCATGATTAATGAATCCAAAGTACCTGGCACACTCCTGGTTCAGAATGTGCAACCACTAGAAACCTTACTTTACCTGTAAAAATAATTGGAAAATAATGAAGAGACATAGACCCTTTCATCACTCATTAACCACCACACCTATGAGTACCAAAGGCTGCAGTCCCTTGCTGTGCTTCACAAGAACATGGAAAGATCCCTGCTGGATCCCAGAGAAGGGAGTGGAGAGAACAAAAAAGTTCCCATTTCTGACATTTTATTATTTATTTATCTCACAACATCTGTGTACCATTTGATTGTAATAAAGCCTCTAATCAATTTACAAGAAGTATAAACCAATAAAAATTATCAGTAGAACAGTTAAAAACAAGAATTTGAAATCTTCAAAAATAATGAAATCAACAATAAGTTAGAGCCAGATTAAAACACAAAACAGCTTCACAGCTTCTCCATGTTTGGATAAGCCTGCCGAAATAGAAATGTTTCTCCCCACCACCACCAGATACCAAAAAGAGTACAGTGGAGGCATCCAACTGGTGTGTCACTAGGCAGGGATTTCCAGAGGAAGGAGCATGGTGTGTCGTGGTGTTGGTTCCAGTGGTTGAGAGGGCATATCTGGGGTGAGCTGGTCTCACAAACAAGGGCTTTATGTACTAATAGCAACACATTGAACGTGGCCCGGTAGCAGATTGACAACCAGTGCAGGTCTCTGAGCAGAGGTGTTGTACCTGTCCGGCTCCCAATCCTGGTATAAGTCATGCTGCAGCATTCTACACTAACTGCAGCTTCGAGATCAAACACAAGGAAGCCCCAGACAAGACTGCACTGTGGTAGTCCAGTCTTCAAGTAACCAGTGCATGGCACATAGCTTTCTAGTGTCTTCCCACTACTCCGTACTGCTTGTCTCCAGTGCCCCACATCAACGTCTTCTGTGCCTTGCTCAGCATCCTCATTTCTAATAACGCGGCTGCCTCTAAAATGAGCAGAGGAGAGACAACGTGTGTTCAGGTATCTTGAGGGATATCTTTGCTCTCAGCTTGGAATGGGCTCAAGCCACCATACATATGAGAAGGGATTACAAAAGAAGTTGGCTGATTACCACCCTCTGGACTAACTTACATAAGCATAAGTTGCCCTCCCGGAAATGCTATATGAAAGATTCTGCACCTTTGCTTCAGCTAACACCAACAAGGTAATTCAGAATTTACATAGGACTTTCAGCACCTTGAAAAGAGTCTAAGGTCTGCTGCAGCACCATCGTAGGAACAAGGGAAGCTGCCTTCGACTGAGTCAGACAACTGGTACATCTAGTTTTATGTTATCTATGCTGAATGGCAGTGGCTCTGCAGGGTTTCAGCAAGGAAGTCTCTCCCAACCTACCTGGAACTGCCAGGGATTGAACCTGGGACCTCCTGCAGGTGAAGCTGCTGCTCTACCATGGAGCTACGGCCCTTTCCAAGCACTAGTAGGTCAACCCAAGGTGAATTTAGGACTATGTGTTGATAATCCTATGCAATCACAAATCAAACAATCACCCTGATGAGGCAAAATCTGAATCTGGGTGTGTGCAGCAAAAAACAGAATAGAGGGGCCACTGCATCCTGATAAATGACAAAATACACTGATTACATTGTGCCATATAGTGGTACTCTAGTTCAAGTTAGTGTATTGGGGTGGGGTCACAACTATGGGGGGGGGGAGAGAGAGAGAAAAGAAGATATTACCAAAAGCTAGCTTGCAAACTCAGCCTTTGGGACAACTGTCCGGTGGAGAGGTTAATACCATATGATTATAAGAAGCGCCCTGCTGGGTCAGGCCTATGGCCCCTCTAGTTCAGCCTCCTGTTCCCCCAGTGGCCAACCAGATGCCTCGATGGGAAACCCACAAACAGGACTCAAGCGCAAGAGCTCTCTCCCCTCCCATGGTTTCCAGCAATGGGTATTCAGAAGCATTGCTGGCTCCAAGTGTGGAGGCAGAGTATAGCCATCATGATGACTAGCGATGGATAGCCCTCTTCTCCACCAATTTGCCTCATCCTCTTTGGAAGCCATCCAAGTTGGAGGCCAACACTGCCCTCTGTGGGAAGAAATTCCTTAGTAGCCACAGGTCGTTCCTGACATGCTACCCTCCAGCTGTTGAGACGCTGTATATGGCCGTAGAGAAAGCACCTGCTCAATTGTGACTGGATTCCAGGGCTGACACTTGTCTCTGGCAATATTACTGGAAAAGGAAGCATAATGCAGAGACTGTTCATTTGGCAGCCTCCCAATATTTGGAGACATTTCAGTGTTTCTGGCTGGATGCTGAGAGTACTGACGTGTGTGTGCATATATATGACCATGCACATGTGTGTGTTGGAGAGACTGCATCTCATAGACAAATGCATGAACAAAGGGATCTGCTTATAGCATTGTCTTTCTGTTACCGGTTCTGGCAGCATGAGACTAGGGCTGCCTGCTTGCACGGCTCCTGAGATCTCCAGGGCATTTTCTTTTCCACAGAGGCTTCCCTGAAGCTCTACATTAATGTTTCTTCTCCCTGCCCCTTCCCTGGGCATGGTGTGTGCATGTGCATGCATGGTCATGGCATGGAAAGGAGAAGACAGGCCGTTAGGATGCAGTTTGATTTGGGGTTTGTCAAAATGGGTTTGGATTGGTCTGGAGTGGAGCAGATCCAATCCAGATTTACAAATTGGGGCCATAGATCAGATTGCAAGGCCCACCACAGCCCCAGTAAAGGGGGATAATGGAGAGCAGAGAACCTTGGTGAGCATTGAGGTGACCTTTGGAGGCTGGGCTTCCTCAGACCAGTCTCGAGGGCTATCTGATGTTGACAGCCTAAGAGAAGAGCTGTCTGTGGGCCTTATCAATTTGAGGAAAATATGTGATTCAATAAGGTTCCACCAATGCATTTTGCAATATGTTGGCTTTGAGGAGCGTTAAGCAGTACTAGCAACTAACCAAGGCAGAGTTTCACCCACAGGACAATAGTTCCTGCGTGCGGTAGATATAAATCAAATAACCCTGTTGCATATCATGGTCTATGTCCAAAATTCTCCATCCACTAGTGCAAGAACTCTAGAACTAGGATTGGAGAATTTTAAAGTTGTGCAACAGAGGAATATAGTGCAACTTCTGCAACAGAGTGCACCATCTAGTAAGCAACTAAATTATCAGCAACTTGACTTTAACGAAGAAGAAGAAGAAGAAGAAGAAGAAGAAGAAGAAGAAGAAGAAGAAGAAGAAGAAGAGGAGGAGGAGGAGGAGGAAGAGTTTGGATTTGATATCCCGCTTTCTCACTACCCGAAGGAGTCTCAAAGTGGCTAACATTTTCCTTTCCCTTCCTCCCCCACAACAAATACTCTGTGAGGTGAGTGGGGCTGAGAGACTTCAGAGAAGTGTGACTAGCCCAAGGTCACCCAGCAGCTGCATGTGGAAGAGCAGAGACGCAAACCCAGTTCCCCAGATTACAAGTCTACCGCTCTTAACCACTACACCACACTGGCTACTGCTACATTGGCTACCTGCCCATGTTTCTTGTTCGTTTATTTCTTTATTGTTGTTTAGTGGTGTCCGACTCTTCGTGACCCCATGGACCAGAGCATGCCAGGCATTCCTGTCTTCCACTGCCTCCCACAGTTTGGTCAACTCATGTTAGTAGCTTCGAGAACACTGTCCAACCATCTTGTTAAATTTATATACCACCTTATGCTTTCAAGGTGCTCAAAGTGCTGTACATGGTTCTCCTCCCCCCTGTTTTATTGTCACAACAGCCCTGTGAGGTTGATCAGTTTAAGAGATGGTGACTGGCTTGAGGTCACCCAGTGAGGTTCATGGCTGAGAGGAGATTTGAATCCTGGTCTCCCAGGTCCAAGTTCAACACTCTAACCATTATGCTGCGCTGGCTCTAGCTAGTTGACTAATAAAGTTATGGTACTCTTTTATATAGAAAACATGTGTGTGTGCGCACACACACACACAGAGCTGGCACAAAACCTTCAATCATCTATTAATGGCACCCAGGATTTCCTGTTTGAGAGAGAATCTTTCAATATGCAGCATCAGTTTGATAATTCCATACTTGTCACAATTGATATCCTTACACCACTATAATCACAGAATTATGGGATCCAAATTTCATAGGATTTTCTAATTAGCAGACTGATCTTGCTGCAGAGGTTATCATCACCTCAGAAACACTTTTTTTAATTTAAAGCATCAGCTTTGAATGATAAATGCTGTCTACAAACACATTCTGCAAGAGTTGGCATTGTCTGCCAATTCATTTATGGGAAAACTTGGAAAAGCCATAGGAAAAGAGCTTCCATGACTAGGAGTCTGGTGGTGGTACATTGATTGCAGCTTCCAAACAGGCCCATGAATGAATATGATCTCTTGGGTACTCCATTGTACCTCATTCTGAGGAAACCGAACCCTGCAGAAGCACCTGCAATCCCTGGGATCTCACACCGTTTGGAGATAGGGGTGGAGTGCAACAATACTAAACTCTCTCATCTGTTCCTCAGAAGACTTGGCTTCCAGACCCTTTATCATCTTGGCATACATGCATGCCAGTGTATCTATTTGCTGTCACTACCACCTAAAATCCAGAGCAGATAGCTACTGCTGTCTAAAGCTCTACTGGTTATGATATTAATACATGCAGACTGGATCAATTGACCACCTGCATCTGAACACAAGCAGTGGAAGGCTTTCCTTTCCTTTTCTCACATACACTCTGTCTCTTTCCACCAGCAGGAGGTGATCTCATCAGGAACCACACTGATAAAATAATGGGGAGCAACTGTAAACAAGTTTGCTTCTTGATCTCTCAGAATGCACGCTCCCCATTCTGCCCACGTCTCTCCAAAAGACACACACACAATTTCTGCCAGAAAGCACTTTTGCAAACTAAGGAGCTGTAAGGACACACCTTGTGAAGTTTTGGAACTGGGCGGCTACTTGTTTTATTCTTTTACATCAGGCTCATAGAAAATCAGAATTAAGAAGAACCTGAGTGTCTCATGAATCTTTATTGTGGCAAAAACTATGAAGAGATGAACTTTCCTTGTGTTCAGGAAAAAAACCACACACTAATTTGTTTCCCACTTGTTTTGTCAATGCACCCAGCAGGTGCTGCAAGGCACTTAGAAGACTCAGGACACAGGCCTGCTACACAAATCTGCATAAAAGTTGCCCATGTTAAAATTGTGTTACAGACCACCCCAATCTCTGAGCAGTGTCTGGGCAGTGTCTGAGCAGGGTCTGTGTTCCCTTTTAGGAAAATGAGGCACAGCAGAGCCTGGGGTGTCTTTATGACATATGGCTTATTTGCAGATATGTACAACCTAAGTCTAGATTGTGGGGGGGGGGATCCCAGCATTACACCCAAAGAGGGTCTCTTGCATCTTCATTAGGCACAACAGTCTCAGATTTTAAAGCAGGGGACAGCAAACTTTTCCAGCAGGGGGCTGGTCCACTATCCCTCAGACCTTGTGGGGGGCCGGACTATATTTTGAAAAAAAATCATGGACGAATTCCTATGCCCCACAAATAACCCAGAGATGCATTTTAAATAAAAGGACACATTCTACTCGTATAAAAACACGTTGACAGTCAGCAGGCTGGATTTAGAAGGCAATTGGGCCAGATCCGGCCCCCAAGCCTTAGTTTGCCTAAAGGTAAAGGTACCCCTGCCTGTACGGGCCAGTCGTGTCCAACTCTAGGGTTGTGCGCTCATCTCACTTAAGAGGCCAGGAGCCAGCGCTATCCGAGGACACTTCCGGGTCACGTGGCCAGCGTGACAAAGCTGCTCTGGCGAGCCAGCACCAGCGCAGCACACGGAAACGCTGTTTACCTTCCCGCTATAAAGCGGTACCTATTTATCTACTTGCACTTAAGGGTGCTTTCGAACTGCTAGGTGGGCAGGAGCTGGGACCGAACGACGGGAGCTCACCCCGCCGCGGGGATTCAAACCGCCGACCATGCGATCAGCAAGTTCTAGGCACTGAGGTTTTACCCACAGCGCCACCCGCGTCCCTAAGTTTGCCTACCCATGTTTTAAAGAGACCTCAGCCATGACTTTGTGTCTCTCCCTCCTGCTTGCCAATTCCAGACTGGAGAGGATGTTTTCCTCCCCCCTAACATCGCGCTCTGACCCCTCCTGCTCTCAAACTTGCAAAAACCGACTCTCGCCCCCCCCCCCCCGTTTGCGTACTTCAGGCCCACAGTAATTCTGAAACTCCCCCCCCCCAACTCTGGTATTTTTTTTTTGCTAACTCCTCCCCCTTTGGGGCTGGCACAGCCTCTGCTTTGCTGATCACAGCATCACAGAACTGTAGAGTTGGAAGGGACCCTGAGAATCTTCTATTATGTGAGTAGGCAAACTAAGGCCCGGGGGCAAGATCCGGCCCATTCACCTTCTAAATCCGGCCCTCGGACGGTCCGGGAAACA